TACGTTTTGCACCTTCGAAGTGTAAAATATTGCTACAAGATTGGGTTCGTCCAGTCCGCAATCTCATTATAACTGAGGAAGTGGTAAATGAAGTAAACAAATTTTGCCAACTGGGCAGCTATATCTCACCCGGTGGATGCATCACGGATGAAGTGTCAGCTCGTTTACAGGAGGCTCGATTGGCATTTACCAACTTGAGATATCTGTGGCGCCGGCGCGACATCCGGCTGTCTGTGAAAGGTCGAGTATATGTTGCGGCATTTCGGCCGGTTCTACTATACAGCGCAGAAACTTGGCCATTGAGAAAACACGATAAACAAAGATTGTCGGTGGTTGAACACCTCTGTCTACGCAACATTGTACGAATTTGGTGGGGAAACTGTACCAGCAATGCTGGTAGGCGCAGAAATTAAAGCAACCGCAATCGCCCACTGGAGCAAGCGGCCGATCTCCATGGATAACGTTGGCTGAAACACATGTTATGCATGTGCCGATCGATCGATCGCCCGCACTGTGGAACTGCGGAGATACGGAGTACCCGAGAAGTAACTTCAAATTTCCGGACTTTACCTTCTTTTGACAAATCGGTTCGTAACAGAGAGAATAATTTACGGAATTCTCAAAACATTTCCCAGAAAACATCGAGCTGGATGGGAGGTCACACGCGCAAACGCTCAGTTTCAGACAACGGCATTCCAGCAGTCATCAGTGGAAATGTGTGCTCCCTGCTTGGTAATATGACAGAAGTAATGGATCTGACAAGCAGACACGAATATTCAAAGGTTGGAGTCATAATGCTTCAGGAGAGCTGGCTCCGCAACGAAATTGATGATAGCGTTGTCGACAATTTTTCCATCTGCCGAGTTGACCGATCCGTTCCGGTTCACAAACGAGCCAGTGGTGTTATACATAAATGACGGTTGATGCAAATCAGGCAAACGAGTTGTCGTGTATTCTGCTATTTTTATCAGTACTTCTCTGTACAAATGTAGATCTAAATACCTCAGTAACTACCGGAACATTATTTTTGGTAACATTTACATTTCTCCTTCATTTTCCACTGATCATTTTAATGAGTTCACCGACATTTTCTCCACCGCTTTACTGAATTAAGTAGATTCTTCCCTTTGCATCGTGTGTGGTGACTTCAGTAGGTTTGATGTCACGTTTTCGATTACCCTTGGGCTACAGAACGTTGTTAACTTTTCGACCAGACTCGAGGCTTGTCTTAATCTATGTTTCGTTAACAACTTAAATTTACCTAACTTGCGCAGCTGTTCCCCTATTGGCGCCTCTGATCATGCAACACTGAAACTATCTCCCACGATCTACAGTAGATCCAATCATCAGTTCTACATTCGGCATCGTGTGCGCCGTCTTCCTCGGCGTTAATGTCAACCCGAAAATCTCACCAAACTAAGAGATATATTAGATTTCTCTATTTTCACATAATGACCCCTTTATACTTTGTGATAACCTGATGGATTTTTGATGTTCTGTTATGATACGTGCTGCCCGTGGGAAACGTTTTACCTATGGTCAGACCGTTTTTCGTCCCCTACACTCAAACGACTATGTCAGAAGAAAGAACAAGTTATCAAAGCGAAAAAGCACTCTTTGGTGATAGGCCACTCGAAAGCAATCAAAGCGGAGATTAAACGCCGCTTATGTACGTGCACTGCTGGTTAATAGGAATTGTCGCGATACCTGTAAAACGTTGTTTCAGTTCTGTAGTCTCAAAACGAAGGACAATCTACCAGCTGCCAAAGTGAACGATCTCAATCACCAATTCAGAAATGCTGAAACCGACGTTCCTCTTACACAGCAGTCGTCCCTGCTCCTAATGTTGTTAATTTAATTACGGACCAAACAGAAGTATTCAAAACTTTCATCAGTCTGAAGTCTAATAAAGCATGCGATCCTGATGGACTGTCACCTGTGGTGCTCAAAGAATGTGCAGTTTTCCTTGGCCTGTTTGCACCGACCTACTCAACCAATCTTTTACTCAGCATTGCATCCTGGAATGCTGGAGAGTGGCTTCTATCACGCCAGTACCCAAAAAGGGATCGTCTAAATTTCGCCCGATTGCTTGCACTTATGTTGCTTTGAAAGTCCCGGAGAAGATTTTACTACAACTTTTTTCGCAGCTGAATGCACCTGATTCCACTCCATTTGCCTATCACAGTTCCAGGTCAACCATTGACTCGTTGGCATCCCTTATTCATTATGTCTGTTCCTCCTTAGACAGGAAATGTAAAGCTGTTTGGCTGTTTCTTTGATTATAGTGATGCCTTTCATCGTGTTGATAGGTCCA